TTTTTCTATTCATTGGTCTTTCATCATTGAAAATTATAATAATTTATGACCTATATTCTTATAGGTACCTTTATTCGATTTGGTGGTAGATGTCGCAAGTATTTTAAGTAACTAAAACAAATACAACTGTTGTGAGCTTACTATGTTGTTATAAAAGTAGATACCTATCTATCTATTTTAGTGATTTTAATTATATCTTAATAATAATAACAAAAAAAAAAAATTGTAATTAAAATTGATATTACTTTTTATATATCAGAATAATTATTTAATCATTGATATTTTATATAATACAAATATTAATAAATAAGTTAGGTATACCAGAAACTCTTAGATACGCACACCACTTATTGTATCATTGTAGTCTAAAATCTTATTATGCAGTTATCCTGTGTATATTTATATAATACTATGTTTTATAACTTTGATAACCAATGAAATCTGGATAGCTATGAGTAAGTAATGGTAYAGTGGGTAGAATGGTGGGGGCACATATGCTCCAATCAGACGAATACTGGATTTTGTGAATATGCCTATAGGTACCTATATACTTTGCCATGCATTCGAACGCGTACCGGTGTATGGTTACAGTCTACTTGCAATTGCGCTTGCCCATATATTTTTAATTTTTCCAAATCAATTTTGATTTTCGTTTTCGTTTTAATATATTTGTCTTTTTATTTCTCTATAATATTTTGCATTCACAGAAACTACGTTGTTTTTTAAATTATAGCATTTATCCTATAATATTGGGATTGAGAAAATACTACAGAGGAACTACGTTCAGGTAAATATATTTTAATCATATATTTTTAACTTTTATTAACGTTTATTAATTTATGGTTAAATATTTCTACTGCCTGTACATAATAGACATTCAAATATTTCGGAGAATAGTAGGATTATCTAAATCGTTTCATTAATTTTTGATTAATTGATCAAATCTACAGTATAATTTTTACCTTAATATTTTCATATAATAAATTGTGTTTAAATATTGTAAAAAAATCGTTAATTATATCCTTTTTTACTTTTCATATTAATCATGTTTACCATAGTTATACTTATTATAATATAATATTACTGTACAACTGTATTTTTATTTAACCATCATTTTGAACTATGATCATTATTATTTATAAATTGTAATACGGGTATTTATTTTAACAGGACATCGAAAAAAAAATTAAATAATTTTTTTTAAAAATAGGTAAAACGATTCAAAGTTAATTTCAGAGACTTTTTGGTACTTTTAATTAATGTATTATTTTCAATGAAAGATACGATTATTTAATACAATGGTACCTTGCTAGTTTTTATATCTTGTTACTAACAACATTTAAAATGTGATTTGTACATGTACTAATCGTTAATAAGTCGGCCCTACTAAGACGCACTTAACGATAAAAGATATAYAATTTTTATAAATGTAGCAAGTAGAAAATAATTTTCGTATTAAAATCTTAAAAAATGAATAAAATAAATATCTATAGTTATAAAGCACTACATAAAGTTATTTAAATTTATAATATTGTATTTTGTACCACGTAGGTACCATTAAAATACAGTTTGTTTAAATTTTTAAATAACTTTTTACGAATGCCTTCATATTTTGAATTTCGTTTCCAATTGAAAATACTATTTCTACTACTATATTAATTATTCAAAGACAATTTTGTTTAATGTACTCAATTATTTTTATATTTATTTTGTCGAGTTCTAATAAATATACAATAGAAAGGCCATAGAGGAAAAATTTAAAATACTGATTTCATAACCAATTTTTAAATATAGTCTATAAGTTATAAACAAAATTGTTTTTTAAACAATTATTTGTATTTATATAATTACAAATTATGAACTAGGTACTATATAGTACTGCTTTTACTCGCTTAACGATCCTTATAATCCTACTAGAATATCTATGTTGATCAGTGAGACTTTTGAATACAGGTTATAAAGTTACAAACATTAATGTRTGTTAAATTTTCAAAGATTAATATTTCCATAAATTTGAGTAGATATTTAAGTAGGTATAATTATTGTAAGGTGGAAAATGTTAAGTTTAGGGCTATGTTTTTTTTAAACTTAAATGAGCATTATATATTTATAAATAGATACTAGAGTAGGTAGTTATGGAAATAATACATAGTAAGAGAACGAAATTATTATATTTAATAATCTTAATAAAGATGTCTACGATCACCAATAGGTAGTTGTACATATTATAATAATTTTATTTATTATTCGTAACATTACAGCCCTGTAAGATAAAAAAAAATGATAATAAATGTTTATAGAACTATTGTCTATTTCAAAGAATATAATAGTTAATTATAATCATTTTAATAATAAATTCAAACTACCTAATTAATAAAAACTAACAAAAATAAAAACAAATTAATACAGTATAGATACCACTGTATTAAGATGTAGGTAATAGGTTAAACCATATAAATGCAAGGGTCCACTCATTAATTGGGTCAATAAACATTTCTAGCCTTTTTCGATTTTATTCACACAAATGTGTCTTGCGCTAAATTTTGCATTTTATGTATATTTCAAAATAYGGAATGAAAGTAATAATATTCTAAGTTTAATAATGATCACAAATAAAAACACGCTATGTCTACGGATCCTATACATTTATTTTTATACTCTCCCATCACTCCTTTATTGMCATTTGACATTAGGCCGAWTTATAAGAGCCATATCTAGGTACCTATATAGGTAGGTATCACGTGAACGAATGTTATTTAACCTACAGCTTATAGTTTATACATCTTAAACTATTATGTTCTCATTTCTCACACTATTTGGAATACCTATATCTGATCATTAACATACCTCAGGATATTTTTTTTTATATTAACAAACGCCACATGCTTAGAAATGAATAATTATGGAAATTGTATTATGTTGTATAAAAAATTAAAGACATGGCTTGTATATTTGTATTATGTATAGTTGGAGAAAACTTGTAATATAATATATATATATATATATATCGTTTAGAAACTGGTTCTTAGTTTTAACCTGCATTTTTGGATAGCAAAAGAGAGACAAAGTGGTTTTTTGGATTCTGACACTCGTGGTTTTATAATTCATAGGCCCTACCTGAGAAGATTTAGTTGCATTATAGTAATAATATTATGTATAAATGCATTTTACGTTTGAACGATAACCGATGACGAAATAAGATTATGGCTTATTTTATACGTAGGTAAATCTTCATCTGTTGAAAATTTCGAAATCAACTGTTTATTTTGAATAGAAAAACTACATGCATGTTTATTTCTTTTTTATTAAACTAAAAAGTTTTATTTATTCTTATAAATATATAGCTACAATGTATAGACTCTATACCTACTAAAATATATTAATACTGCATCTCGTTAGTAAATTTAGTTGTAGTTATGCATATTTAATTAGGTATGTATCGAACAATTAATCAAAATGATTTTAATATTATGAACTTACTTGCCTAAATAGAATAGGTATATAGGTATATATGCTAATAGTTGTTTTTAAAACAAAAATCTTATATTAAGATATTATTTTTGTTTATTACTACCTACAAACATTATACATATATATTTATATATAATATATAGTAGGTAGGTATACTATTAATATTATAATGCATTTTCTATCTTACCATGCCTACTAAAAAAATCGAATATGCTCTTTAGAATCTGCCACGCCCTCCAATAAGTTGATACATAGTTTGTATTAATTTATTATAGTAGGTATAATAGGCAATACGTGATACATTGGTGATACACTGTACTACTGCAGTTATTAATTCAAGTATTTATTATTAAGTATACGATAGAGTACGCGGGGCATATTTAACGGTAGTCAGTAGTCACCTATAATATATTATATAATTCCTATTTGCATGCTAATTTCTAAATAATTAGTGTATCTATTTTTAGACATAGTTGTTCACCTGTGTCAATCCACGTAACTGTTTTTTTTTTTAAATCATAATATTTAACTTACAACTATGAACGCATTACATCCACACCCAATATTTACAATATATTGTTAACTAAAAAATATCTATCTAAATATCTAAACGCATCRGCTTATTTTTAAGTRTTTGATATTTCAAATATAGCATGTTTCTAAAAATATCTTCCTTAAGTATCATCCCTATACCAACACATTTCAAAATTTGAACCAACACTGAGGATCCACAAATCTCGATGCACGACCGCAGTCAATTTGTGGCTGCCGTAGTAAATAAGTAGCATCGTCGTAAAAATAAATTATTTTACCTCCGAACCACTTTTGACACAGTATTTAATAATTACCCATAACATGCACTTAGTTAACGACCGGTAGGCTTTTAGTAGTGTACTCGCGTATACCCGCAATCAACCAGTGTCGACGCCACAAAATCCTAGGCYTTCGCTCGACGAATCARCCGTAGCTCCAATAAGTTTTAATCCTGTAGTCACAATGTATCAACCATTCGAATAATACATATTATATAGATATATGTTGACAYAGCTCTTGGGCAGAAGAGTTTTTTTGTTCGTTCATTTCACTCGCGTCCGTCATATGCCAAGAATCAATTAAGTATACACGATACAAATATAAAATACTATATCACAGCTGTCTATCTAATATTTAAAAAATGTTTATATTAAATAAATTATAATGTCTGTCCGTCTGGTGTCTAAGCGTACACACACTTACTATGCCTAAAGAGTTTATTTTTAAAGACGTACTCGTTTCTTGTCGGCCGAAAAACTTGTCAACGATCCACCTTTTTTTCCTCTCATTCTTTCTTTCTGTATCTCGCTCTTTTTTTGTCGCTCTCTCAGTCAGAGCCCGGCATCACCAAATATCTCTGTCGCACMGTGTACTGATTGTATGCTATTGCCTATTATATTTTATTGAACACAATGAACACAGCATATTCCTGTAAAAATAATAACTGTGACGTTGACCAGCTCTAAATACTCTACCTATATCAAATATTTTAGTAAAATATAGGACCTTCTTGAAAAATAAATAATTAMCGTGGTTGTTGTTCGTATTTCAGAGTTCGCAAGAAGCAGCACCGAAACTCCGAACGATCTTATTTTACGATATGTCAAAGATGAAGGAAGTACCAGCTAACACGTCGTGAGAAATATTAATAATTTTTTTTTTCTACACACATTTTTTGTTCTYTCTGGAAACATGCATGTATAGGTTAAATTTAAACTATGGTAAATAGGTATATTATAGCTGGAAAATAATGTAATTCAATGGTTGTTACAGTATTATATTTTATATAGGTACATGATAAATTAATAACGTTCAAACATATTTAGATTTATGTTATGACATTACCTATAATATGATATATTCATACAAACCTATTTAACCCGTTCTATGGTAAGTATGTACCGGCAGCTGCTAGACATTTTACTTAGGGCGTGTTGTGGAGAACCCTCATGTTATGTTAGCAGCACAGCCATCAATTAACACAACGACACTCAAAAATACATCTAACACATTTTACTCTGATAAAAAATGTCTAGCTTACATTGTTATTTGTTGAAGACTGTGTCACTTCTCCGAGATTTTGTAAGACTTTATTTTCACTGGTAGACTATTTTTAAAATTGTGCAGCATTGGAGATCTATACCTATATGCGAACTTCTAGTCTTTTTACAAATAAAAAAAATCATTTAACAAACATTTCAATATACTTTAATTTAGTAGAAAATGTGTGTTTTAGAGGATTTATTTTTTATTATTGCGAACAACTTATTTTTTATTCTATTTTATAAAAATTAAAACCTTACTCHGTGTTTTAGTGTATTATAATTTTGCGTATAAATAAACTGAATTTTTATAATGTCTTTCAATTTTTCAGAATTATTTTGTTAAAAATAAAAACTGTTTAAAACACTTCTATAAAACACTCATACTTTATGGTATATTATTTTTTTGATAAATAATATGGTACTTAAGCAATTTTAAATTTTTGTGGAGCAACATGATTATATTCCTAATAATTTGTATAATATAAATATATAATTGAATTTAAAAAAAAAAATGCGAAACAATAATTTTTTTTGACAGTTTTTAGATAAAATGTTGACGAATAGTAAATTAATATGTAATACACGCTTYATTTTCGGCTAAAATTAAATCGACCTATTTCTTGCCATAGTGCAAATATAGTTAAATAGRTTAGTTTATAGTTTATCAACAATATCTATAATCACATCATAAAACATACTTAAAAAGTAAATATAGGTATATTATATATAGGTTGATAGTATTCACTCAGAAGTCAGAAGTCAAAATTGTTTTTGTATGGAATGAATTATCTATTTAAATTCAAATTTAACACTTATTAATAATTATTGTGACTATAACTCATAATACGAAGAATATTCGACATCTACTATATACATTTTGGTGTGCTATGTGAAATAAATCATCTAGTTTATCYAAAAAAATATATATATTTTTTTAAATACTCAGAATTTTTTATAGTAACCTCATCTACTCGTCTGTAACTAGAGCTGCGTTTTCGTTCAAGTTCAATTTTTCCATTCATATATTGTACATTAAAACTTTAAAACAGTACCCTTGCTATGGTTGTTAATTTACTAGCAGTATTCTAGTATTTCATATAACCAAGAAGAAAAATTTTTTCATGTAATGGAATTTTAAATAARTAAAAAATTACAATATATATAATAGAACAGTAACTGAACACAAATAAGTATATTAATAATATTGTCAGTAGGTTTGTAACTTGCCTCATTGAATTGATACTAAATAATATACTATCGGATTTCAATCATTTTTTGCTAAATATGAATATAAAAAAATATGCCATAATTGATAATATTATGTGTATTTTCACTTGATATATTATTCATTACAGATTAAAGTCATTCAAAAATCAAGCAAAGAGTGAAGTTGCACATCTAAATGGTATCGATTACTTCGATCCATTCCTCGAGAGAAACTTGGAACACCCAACCACGTAAGTATATAGTATTATAATATATAATAATATAGTAACGTATAATAATAAATCCACTTTTAGAAATTGCGAGGCCCGAGCAATGTATAATTTTGAGGCCATTTTATAGTTSTATGGTTCTGCTTCAACATAACATTAAAAATACTTTTTATTCGAATTAATAATAACGATTGGAATCATATAAATTGTATATACTCATAATAAATATAATTACTTTAAAACGACACCAACATTAATATTTCTTAATAAACAACTAATTTAAATACTGAAATATTGTATGTAGTATGTTTACTGTAAAGTACATTAAAGAACAATAATAACTATAAATTACCACAAGAAATGAAGAAAATTAATTTAGAAACAATATGTTACCCATTTAAAAACATAATAAATTATAAATAAACAATTTTATTTTAACTCTTTAATCATTTAACTTAAAAGTAGTATAACACAATTAAAAAAAGTAAATATTATAATAATAAATCTAAATAATATTAATTTTTTCTGTCAATAATTAAACATTGTTAGTAATAATAGAAATAATTTTTTACACACTAATATATTATTTCAACTTTTACAGCAACGGTGAGACCCTGACTCATTTACTCAAAGCATCTCTAGGAACTGGCATCCTTGCCATGCCGTTAGCTTTCCAGTGTTCAGGACTTATAACTGGCTTATTTGCAACAATGGTCGTGTCATTCGTGTGCACGTATTGCTCGTATCTACTGGTTAGTTGTCGAATATCTTATGTTTTTAGTTACGTTCATAACCAATTGTCGTCGCCTTTATATGGAAGTATTGGAAGTTATGAGGCACGACACAGATATATATTGATTACCTACATAATAATGTAYTATAAGTATATCATAAAACTAAGTCTTATTGGTTTTGTTGGTTAGGTTCAAAGTCTGATTATTATTTTTATTATTGCAATAGTGCATAGAAAAATAATAACTAAACGGTTTTTTATTACAATTTTGAGTACTTTACATATAATATTACGAATTATGTATTTATTTCATAATTAATTTGTTAGTTGTTAATATCTTATAATATTTTCGTAACCTTCCAATTTTATGCGTTACCTATATTTTTTTTCACATCCTACCTATTAAACTTTACAATGCACACCTATATACATACAACAATAATTTTTTGATATTTTTCACTCTCACATTTACACATTTAAACATATATATAGTTTATAAATACTACATAATTTTAAGTTATAGGTAATATTGTTAACATTATTAGATATTTGTTAAATTATATTAAATTATRTTTATGTAGTACTATTGATTGCAAATAGSTACTAGAATTGATGATAAATAGAAATACTTACGACCTACTTGTTCTACATAGGTACGTTATACCTTATACATATCTAAAGGCTATTGAGCATATTATGTTGCTCAATTAAAAAAAATGTTGTTGAAGAATTATTAAAAAAAAAAAAGTTAATTAAATTGATCTGGTTTTAGGTACACTTTATAAAATATAATTTAAGTATAGAACGTTAAAAAATATAATATCGTTATATTTCTATAATAACCTATAATAATAAAGGTATTATTGCTAATATGATGTAGCGAAAATACGCGAATTTGATATAGTATACAACAACTATACTCGTTATATACACTAGTCACTAGTATTTAATAGTTATAGTATACACTAGTCACTAGTATTTAATAGTTATAGTATACACTAGTCACTAGTATTTATTAGTTATAGTATACAACCTATAGCCTATATAGTATATAAGTAGTGTTATGCGTTATAATTATATAATATAATGTATTATAATTTTTTTAAATAATGTTCTTAGATTATGTCAATGGTATAATACGTATATTCTCTCGTTGTTTTACAGGTGAAATGCGCTCACACGCTTTACAGGAGGACAAAAGTGTCATCCATGAGTTACGCGGATGTGGCTGAAGTGGCRTTTGCMAACGGACCCACATGGTCTCAAAAGTTCTCGTCACTTACCCGACAGTCTGTGCTCTGGCTGTTATTCGTCACATACTTCGGAACATGCAGCGTGTACACAGTGATAATCGCCTCAAACTTTGAACAGCTGTTCACATACCACATGGGTTACGAGCTGAATCTCCGATACTTTATTGCGATGCTGCTCATACCGCTTATACTGCTCAGCTACGTGCCTAATCTCAAGTACTTGGCGCCCGTATCTATGGTGGCCAACCTGTTGATGGCCACCGGCCTGGGCATCACATTTTATTATACATTGTGTGATATACCCAACATTTCAGAAAGACCGGCTATGGGGACACTTGAAACATTCCCAACATTTTTCTGTCTCACCGTATTTGCCATGGAAGCCATTGGAGTGGTACGTTATGAATATTACCGATCAAAAAGTGCTTCAAATTGTATGGGGAAAAATAGGCACCTACAAAAATGGTTTGTAGGTGATTATTTACATACTTATAAGCTTTGAGGCATAATAATTCAAATGGAGGAAAAGTTGTTTTAGAAAGTATATTTTTTTTCAATACCTACAATTTGAAGAATTTTTCAATATCACTTTTCATTCACTTGTTATTTTTTTTTTGATTATTTTTAAATCATAACCAATATTTTTATTTTTATATTTRAAATAGATACTATACAGATCAACATGGGTATTATATTATAAATTATGAGCATTTGCCATTTATAAAAGATTGGTTGAYAAGGWATCTTATATAGGCTGATTAATTCTCAATAAAACTATGAATAAAAATATATGGTTTTACTACTTTTACTGAWTTTTTTTTTAAAATTATTTTGTTAATACTATTGTAAATAATTTGTCTGTTTGTCTTTATATCTTATTTTTTTTTATTGAAGGTAATGCCGTTGGAAAACAACATGAAAACGCCTAGAAACTTTTTGGGAGTTTTTGGAGTGCTGAACGTCGGCATGGGCGGTGTGACCATTGTGTACATTCTGCTAGGTTTCTTTGGTTACTTGAAATACGGTGAAGCAACGAAATCAAGTATAACGTTAAACCTTCCTACCGAAGATGTGTGAGTGTATAACGTGCAGCTAAAAGCTAAAACACATATCTAAAAATATTGTTATCCGTGTACCTCGATTTCAGTGAAAATAGTCACATATATTACTTATATAATATTTCTATTTTCATGATTTTGGAGGTGAATTAATCTGTCCAGTATGAAATTTTATTTTTTTTATTTCAGATAAGAGTATCTTAAACTCAACTATCATTCATTATATCAATCTTATCATTTATTTAACGTTTCTGATATTGTTTGGCGATGTAGGTACCTACATAAAAAATAACGATGTATTAAATGTAAAAATTGGTTTTTTTCTTAAAAATA